TTGTATGCAGTCTCATATATGTTTTGTTTTAGAAAAGAAGTGATAATGACGTCCATTGGATTCAATATTACCCAGAGTCCGGGGGAAAAATTATTTGCCCTTTTTATAAGTGATTTACAATTCATGACAAGCCTAGAGATCGTACTGAACTGATTGGAGCAGTTGACTGTTTACCAGCTTGTTTGAGCTGGGAGTCTCGGGTCTAGCGTGAAACAGCCGCCGTCAGTGGTCGGAGTAGGACTTTACTCTGCATAATATGGCGCTCTCATGAAAACTTTAAGTTTGGATGGTTGATTGCATGTCTGCTCTTTATCAAACTTACTTCAAAAAGTTACTATGTCTCTCCATCAAAATCACTGCCGTATCCCATAACCCACTGCCAATTGTGTTCGACTATATTCACGCGGTTCTGGTCTCCATTAACGGAACTTTGATTAGCATAAGGAGCAACCTACAAATACAAATTTTCTCATTTGGAGGATTGGAGAAAAATTTTGTGGTTTTAGTATCGAAGAACGGCGGATAAAGGTTTACTAAATAAATTAATAATGAACAAATAGTAGTAAGTGAGGGATGATTCGGGCCTTTTTCCAGGACAGCCATTTACATAAGGTAGGCAGCCAGAACACGATGTCGTGACTAAGCATGATAATTTGACGGTACCTCATGCAAATCGCTTCCCCGGAAAAAAAAGGCGCAAACCATACCTTCCCTTCTATTAACATTTGCCCGTATTATCCAATTCGTCTCGATACGGAACAAATAACGTATAAAATGATGAGAACAAAATCACTCGTTATAACTCTGCATATCGTCGTGATGTCCATCAGTATGTCGTGTGGACCTTCTTGCAGTATCTGGCATCCGTCAATATGACAGATGTTTTCCTGGATAATTACAAAATATTTTCACTAAAAATTACTTCTGGATTCATAGACAGGTTCTTCGTAACACGTGTGAACAAATATCACCTGTCAGATCTGATGAATGTGACTGGGTCTGAGTAAAAGAACTCATGGTAACTAGTTTTACGACATAACTGACCTACGCAACTTGATATTCTGTATTGCTAATCACTCGGAAGTTATTATAAAACAAAATTTAGCGTCGTTGCTCTTATTTGAAGAAGGGATTCCGAGCTGCTCGTGAGTCTGAAATCTGTTAGATTATTTTCTTACTCACATTTTTTTTTTTGCTAATCTGTACTCACCAGGATAATTTTACTGATGCCGGGTCACACCAGCTGGTAAATTGAGAATACAGTTAACAGGTTCGTAACTAACAAACACGAGTACAATAGGTCGGCCTGACTGGCCGTCACTGACCACATCAACAGTAGCGTCACCGGCGGATGGAGAACGTCGGTTGACGACCTCGTACACAGACAGTGCGTGTACTTCGTACTCTAGGCGGAACTGTTCCCAGGAGTACAACTGTAGACCGTCTGGACAGGCTGGTTGTTATATCGTGGTTTGGCAAGGGTTTTATCAGTATTCGCGAATATTGTACATCAATATGCATCAGTTGAAGAAATGAAAAAATTGCTACTGATACATCGACAGAAAATACAACAGCCAGTACGTGTAGGTGTGAAAAGGTTGGTG